AGTTTCTCCTGCATCCAGTAGGTATAATGGGAGCTGAGACTGTGAGAATGCCTGTAGGGTGGGTGTACCTATTCTGACGTGCTCAGCAAATGGTAATGACTTCAGTTGGTAGAAAGAGTATTTCCAGGGAACATGAACCAGTGACTTCATGTGTGGCCATGGTTTTCTCATTTGTAAAGCAGAGCCAGTCTTACCTTGCTTCAGGGTTGCTGTGAAAATCATACCTTGAATTAAAAGATAAGAATACCTAAGTTTGGGGCTGGAGAGATGGCTCAGTGGTTAAGAATACTGATTGTTCTTGCAGAAGACCCGGGTTCGGATCCCAGCATCCACATGGCAGCTAACAACTGTTGGTAACCCTAGTCCCAGGGGATCCAACAGCCTCTTCTGACCTCCGTGGGCATTGCACAACACAGGCGCACTTACCTACATGCAGGCAATACACACATACACATAAAAAATAAAAAATAAATTTTTTTTAAAGTTAAAAAAAAAGTTTAAAAAATACCGAAGTTCTCCTACATGTATAAGGAGTTATTTTTAAAAACAGTTTTTTGGAGCTGGGCGTCGTGGTTCACACCTTTAATCTCAGCACTCTGGAGGCAGAAGCAGGTGGATCTCTGACATTGAGGCCAGCCTGGTTTATGTACTGAGTTCTAGACTAGCTGGGGTACAGAGAGACCCTGTCTCAGTAACCAGAGAACTATGTTGTATGGGTCCTGTCTGTGTGTACAGACATACTATGAGTGCATGTATATAAGTGTACTATGTGTGTGCAATGCCTGAGGAGGTCAGAAGAGGGCATTGGATTCCTGGAACTGGAATTTTAGATAGTTGGGTGCAGGGAACTGAACCCAGCTCCTCTGCAAGAGCAGTGAGTGCTCTTAAACTGCTGAACCATCTCTCCAGGCCTTTAAGGAATTATTTCTATTACTCAGCTTCTGCTATGAGAGGTACTCTGTTTATTTAACGAATGTTGGCCATTGGCCTGTTACAGGGCAGGTTGTGTGCCAGGAGCTAAGCATGTAGCATTAAATGCAATGAAGCTATTAACCTGCATCAGCGTCCAAGTTCAGTGAGAGCTTTGTCTGGTGCAAGGGTCAGCAAACTTTCTCGGAAAGACCCAGAAAGCAAACATTTCAGGCTTTGTGAGCTGTGCCCTTTCTGTCACAACTGGTCAGCTCTGCCACTGCAGCTTGCAAATAGTCCTAGATGATACCAGAGACAATGAGTGCTGTTAGATGCCAAGAAAACTTCTGTGTGAACTTGGGAGTTCAAATTTCGCATAATCTTCACATTATGAAATGTTCTTTTGATTTCTACCATTGCATTTAAGAATGTAAAAAATGTTCATCTGGGGACAGCACTTAGAAGGCACTCAGAATGGTCTGGCCTTTGATACACCGTTGTAGACTTTCCTACGTTATAGCCTCTAACAAAACAAGATTGTCCCCAAACTCTGGCAGTAGGATTGTTTACTTTATACTGAGAAGATCAGGAAAGCATCTGAACCTGCATATCCTATGTGCACAGGAAGACTTTGAGGTGTCCATACTGTGAGACCCAGTAGGACTCAGGTTAGTTCTGCGTGTGCTCTATCTGTGCCAGGATCAAGCTTGCTTTCATGGTTAGGAAGTAGAAAATCATGAAAGTGAAGAGACATAGAGAATTAGAAAAGTGAAATAAATATGAAGCTTTTTGTTCTAATAAAAATCAAGGCTTTTAAAAAAAATGGGGCTAGAGAGATGGCTCAGTGGTTAAGAGTGCTTCCTGCTCTTCCAGAGGACCCATGTTTGGTTCCCAACACCTATATCAGACGGCTCATTGTATCTCCAGCTCCAGGGGATCTGATGTACTCTTCCAGTCCCCTAAGGCACTGCACTCACACATACACATGCACACACACATATACAACCACGTATAATTAAACACGTAATTAAAAATAAAATCTTGTTGGGTGTGGTAGCGCATGCCTTTAATGCCAGTACTTGGGAGGCAGAAGCAGGTGGTCTCTGTGAGATCGAGGCCAGCCTGGTTGACATAGTGAGTTTCAGCCTAGCTAGGGCTACGGGGAGACCTTGTCTCAAAAAAAAAAAAAAAAAAAAATCTTAAAAATTAATTAAAAGAATGTAAAACCCAAAAAAACATTCTTAGCTCTTGGTTTTGGTAAAAGCAGGTAGTCGATGGAGGGGTGGATGGCACACACCTTCAGTCCCAGCACTGGAGTGCAGAGTTAGGAAGAGTCTGGTGAGTTTGAGCCTGATCTAAATAGTGAGTTTTAGGGTAGCTGGGGCTACATAGTGAGACCCTGTCTCAAAATCAAACAAACACCCAAAACCAGCAGAGCCAAATGTGGTGGTGCCCTCCTGGGATCCCAGAACTTGTTAGGCTAAGACAGGAGGATCTTGGGTTCAAGACCGTCCTAGGCTATGTGGTAAGACCCTGTTTTTTAAAAACAAACAGCATACTAAAACCAAGCTGGGCATACATAGCTCATGCTTATAATCCCAGCATTTGGGAGGTGGAGGCAAGAAAATCTGGGGTTCAAAATCAGCTGGTTGTGGTGGTGCATGCCTTTAGTCTCAGCACTCAGAGGCAGGTGGATTCCAAGCTGGCCTGATCTACATGAGACATTGTCCCAAAAAACAAAACAACGGCCTGGAGAGATAGCTCAGAGGTTAAGAGCACTGACTGCTCTTGCAGAGGACTTGGGTTTGATTCCCAGCACCCACATGGTGGCTAACAACCATCTGTAACTCCAGTTCTGGGGGATTCGACACCTTCTTCTGACCACTTGGGCATTGCACAACACAGGTGCACTTACACATATGCAGGCAATACACTCACACATAAAAATAATAAAATATTTTAAAGCAAAACAAAAACACAACAAATAGAAAAGCAGGCAATGTAATAGATTGGCAACTGTCACTTGCTGACCCCTGGTGAATCTTTTCATAACCTTTTAGGTAGCTATGAATCAGGGGTTGAACTATTTTTTTGTTGTTGTTGAATATTTCATTTCCATGGACCACGTATTTGTCTTTGAACTAATGAGGAATTAGGGTCCTTCCAGAGCAGATGATGGGTTTCCCACTACAGTCATGTTCATCTCAAGTGTAACACAGGAGGTGCCAGCTTCCTTAATAAATCACTGAGAACTTGGCAGCCTGCATTGTGTCTATTTTCTACCCCCTTGGAACATTTCTCCTAGATGGAAGTTCTAGAGACACTGATTTTCCCATTTTACAGATGAGCAAACAAAGGGTCACAGGTCCATTTGTTGGTAGGGGATCCAGAGAAAACCTGGAGATTTTCTGACTTAGTCCAACTCTTTTCTCTGGGATATTGTGAGGTATGAGCCCTCTGCTAAGATGGAAGGCTGGACTTTTCTTTTTTTTTTTTTTTTTTTTTTTTTGAGACAGGGTCTCTCTGTAGCCCCAGCTGTCCTGGAACTCACTATGTAGACCAGGCTGGCCTTGAACTCACAGAGATCCGCCTGCCTCTGCCTCCCGAGTGCTGGGATTAAAGGCGTGCGCCACCATGCTCTTTTCACTTGCTCTTTTCTGTTCAGCTGCCATTCATAGGTGAAGTGATATATTCCAGCAAATGTTCGGTATTTATTCATTCCACAGCTCCTGTATGTGTCAGACTCCATTCTTCAGATCCTTGTTATAGAGTAGTGAGCAAGACAGACGGGAGGCCTGCTCTGTGGTGCTTACAGAATAGCAGGGAAGAAAGGCAAGAAAGCAGCCTAAGAAATACCGTTGTTAGCAGTTCTGATTAGTGCTAGGGAGTAATGAAGAGCCCATTACATACTAGACATCGTGCCAAGTACTCCTGGAGTCATGTGATTTATTCCTCACAGCCAGTCTAGCAGAAGGGCTGACAAGATGAAGACATTTAGGTTCAGAGAAGCCAAGAATCTGCTGGCTCCACAGAATAGGGAGTGATACTTTTTTTTCCTCCTTAGTTTTTTGAGACAGGGTCTCACATTGTAGCCCAGGATGGTCTTGAACTCATGGTGATCCTCCTGCTAGAATTACAGGTACATACCAGCATACCTGGTTTAGGCAGTGCTGAGGATTGAACCCAGCATTTGGTACATACTGAGCAAGCACTCTACTAACTGAGCCACATTCTTAGCCCCAGAAATGAGACTTTGTGTGTGTGAGTGAGTGAGTGAATGAGTGTGTGTGTGTGTGTGTGTGTGTGTGTGTGTGTATTCTTGTGTGTGCAGGTGCATGTTGAGAACTGTGGACAACCTTGGGTGTTGTTCATCAGGAGTTACACACTTTGTTTTTATGAGACAGAGTCTCTCATTGACCTGGAGCTCAATAAATAGGTTTGGCTGGCTGATTCAACAGCCCCAGGGATCTGCATATCTTCCCTATACTGGGATTGCAAATGTATACCACCATACCTGGCTTTTTTACATGGATTCAAAGGATTGAACATGGTTCCTAGCAAACAACCATCTCCCTATCGGCACTGATTTTCTAGAGATAAGTACTTTCCTCATGCTATAAATAGATTCTGTGTGCTGTGCTCAGGGATTTTCAGTAGGAAAGGGGGAGCCACTGAAGATTTTAAACAGAATGCCCATAGTCAGGTCTCTGTTTTTTTGTTTTGTTTTATTTTGTTTTTGAGACAGGGTCTCCCTGTAGCCCCAGCTGACCAGGCTGAGGTCTCTGTTTTAAAAGGCTCACTTGGCAGCAGTGTAGAGTGTGAGTGATGGGAGCTTGAAGACCCCTGGGAAACCATTGGGGTCACCTTGAAGAGCAGTTACAGTGGATGATGTGATGATGGAGCTAGGCAGATGGGCTGGGGAGGGGTTGGGGCAGGAATACTGATGGGGCCAGGTCATTGGCAGACCTGGAGTAAAGGAGAGGAGAGTGGGGAGCCCTGTAGGGGGAACCGCTGTTGATTGTTGGGGCTCTCTCATGGGATCTGGAGTCCTAAGCTGGTTACAGTGAACAATGTGTGCATTCTGCCTCTAGGGAGCCGCCGGTTGGTGGATGTGATGGATGTGAACACCCAGAAGGGCACCGAGATGAGCATGTCCCAGTTTGTGCGTTACTATGAGACACCGGAGGCTCAGCGGGACAAGCTGTACAATGTCATCAGCCTCGAGTTCAGCCACACCAAGCTGGAACACCTGGTCAAGCGTCCCACTGTGGTAGGTCATTGCCCTCCTAGCCTTCTACCACATCCTTTGCCTGCTGGGGCTTGCTTGCCTCCCCTGCAGCCTGGCACTAAGCTGCCTCTTGAGATGGGATGGCTGGGTAGGCATGGCTGAAGCTGGTCCCTTAAGGGATGGGAAAGGTGTAGGAACAGGGTTTGGGTTCTAGTGTCTAGAAGGGTGGCTAATATGGGTGAGGCAGCCTAGCCAAAAGCACCCAGAAACTCTCCAGGCAGAGGGGTTCTTTCTGGACTGTCTGCAGGGGAGGCTGGGAGTGCTTACAGTGAACTGGGTTTCAGGTGGACCTGGTGGACTGGGTAGACAACATGTGGCCCCAGCACTTAAAGGAGAAGCAGACAGAAGCCACAAACGCCATCGCAGAGATGAAGTACCCCAAAGTGAAGAAGTAAGACTGCTCGGCAGGTTGTGGGAGTGGGGAGGGGTAGATCCCAACCTTGGGGGTGCTGGGCAAGGGACCTCCATGTGGGTCTGAGTGTTGCTTTGGAGCTGAAGGATTGCATCATAGCTAATCACAGTGCTGATATGAGGCCCTGGGTTCTGAGCAAGCTGGCATTTGCTTCCCTGGCATGCAGGGACTCTAGACCCTGTGCTGGGTAAGGCTTTCCTTCCTGCTGGCCCTGGGGTCTCCCCACAGCTCTCTTGGGGGTGGCAATCTGAGAGGAGGAATGATGACGTCCATGTTTGTGCCTAGGTACACATTTGCCTGTACTTGAAGCCTTGTCCTGTATCCTCTGTGTGACAATGTCCTGGGAGTGGTGTTTTCAGAGGCATCTGTCCTCAGTAGTGACCACTTTTGTTATGGATGGGCCCGGGTCTAGTTTAGGTGTTTCTTTTCTTTGATGTTGAGACCTGGAACCTCTGGCCCAGGAAAACCTTTCCCAAGCAAAGCCCAGTCAGTTTAATCACCAGAAATATCTTAAGTGGTGCCTTCCAAGTAGGAGATTGGCCCAGGGTGGGGAAGGTAACAATGGTTAAGCGTAGATACCTCATGACATAGAACATAATCTGCTCCTGAGCCTGGTGTTCAATCTGGACAGAGGCACTTGTGGGCCCCTTCACAGTCAGAGACTTGGATAATGGACCATCTAGAGAAGGAAGTCACCTTGGGGACTCTTGTCATCTCATACTCCCTGAAACAGGAAGGAGATGCTGGCTGCCCCGGACAGAGCTAGAGCTCTGGGCTTTCTGGAAAGGTTGGTGCTGGCTGCCTGGATCCATTTGCATCTCTGCTCAGCCCTGCTGCCATCAGAGCCCCTAGGAAATCTCAGCCTTGAACTTCTCCTTCCCTCGGCCCTCCATTGAGTGTTTATTGAGTGCAGACTGTATGCCAGGCTTTGTAAGGGAGGCTAGCAAGCTGGCCTTCTCTCTCTCTCTCTCTCTCTCTCTCTCTCTCTCTCTCTCTCTCCATTAATTCATGCACATTTTTTTTTCCCTATAAGCCCAAGTTCCATGTATTCCTTGAATCTGGGCTGTATCAAAGGCAGAGACAGGTTCCAGGTGCAGAGGGAGGATGGCAGGGCTTCTTTCCAATTCTGTTCTTTTCTGAATCGATCACAACAAAATATACAGCTCTGAATGGGCAGGTAAAGAGATGAATACGTCTGAAGACCTCCACCCAGTACAGAACGTGTAATGTAGCACCGGCTGCCCTGGTTCTTACCTATGATTCTTGGGGTGAAGGTGGAGCTGGAAGAAAGAAACAGATTATGACTTTATTCTGTTGGTTTGTTATTTGGTCTTGAGAAAGGGTCTCCCTGTAGCCCCAGCTGACCAGGCTGGCCTCAATCTCATAGAAATCCACCTGCCTCTGCCTCCTGAGTGCTGGGCTTAAAAATGTGCACCACCATGTCCAGCACAGATTATGGCTCTTATGAATTGATCCAGCGACTGTTTGATTCCATTTATTCATTCACTCAGAAACAGTGTGTTGAACATCTAATTGGTCCTGGAGACACTGGGGTAGGGATAGGGGATCCTAATGAGATCTCTGTCCCAGTGTAGTGTTCAGTTTATGGAGAGACAGATGTTAATCCAGAATTGACAGAACACATGGAAGCTGTTAGCTGATGATGAGGCCACACAGAGACACATGGTAACATTGGTGCTGGTAGCAGGTGATTCAGCTGGTCAGGGAGATCAGGGAAGGCATACTGAGCTGGCATCTAAAGAATTCAGTAGTTCCTTGGGTGAAGAAAAGAGAGGTGGGTTTTTCTGTCTGGGTACAAAAATCTAGGAGGGGGAGGGACATTGGCTGGTGGGACAGGAATGGGGGCACTGGGTGCTAAATGGGGGTGAACCAGGCTGAACAGGGCCTGAAGCCACAATTTCCCCTAATAATACTTTAGTTTCCCATAAGAATGGTTGGAAACCTCTCCAAGATTTTTTTCTTGATTTTTTTTTTGGGGGGGGGGATTTTTTTCCCCCTTGTATGTATGTATGTATGTATATGTGTGTGGTATGCCTGTGTGCGCGTGCATGTTTTCAGTCTTTTTTCCCACGTGTATGTGTGTGGCATGTGTGCAGGTGCATGTGCATGTGTATGTTGCTTGTAGATGCTCGAGGTTAATGTATGAATTTTCCGCTTTCTACCTTATTTATTGAGGTGGGTCTCTCAGTTGAACCCAGAATATTCCATATGGCTAGTCAGTTTGCTCCAGGGATCCTCTGTGGGCCTCCTGAGGCCCTAAGATTACAGGTGAGGTGCTATGCCCACCTGGCATTTATGTGGGTTCTGGGAATCCAAATTTAATGCTTGTATGGCAAGTGCTTTTACAAACATTGACCAATCTCCCTAGGTCCCCCCGCCGCCCGCCCCCAGCAGGGTGGTGATGGTGAGGAAGTCTCCACAGGTAGCCCAGGCTGGTCTTAAAACTTGTGATACTTGTACCTCCGCTACCCAAGTGTTAACATTAGACAAGTGTCACTGCATTCCCACTCTCCTCTCCCTGAGATTCTAGGAAGAGCAGGGTTTGGTCATGAAGGTTTACATTCTGAAAATAATCCTGCTGTGTGGATGGGAAGCATGAAGAGGCTGCGGCCTGGCCTACATCTTGAGGGAGAGGAGAAGGGAGGTGATCACACCTGCGCGCATATTTAGGAAGTAAAATAGACTGCACTGGGTGACACAGATTCCAATTAAGGTCTACCTTGCCTTCCTGAGAGCTTTAGTAGTTTGTGGAAAGATTTCTTTAAATAGTAAGCTCTACTAGCGCATTTAGGGACTCTAATTATCAATAAAATGGGACTCACAGGTTTTTAGGCCCTGTGTCTTAGATGCACTGGTGAGATTGTGTGGCAAATATATTTATAGACTCCATCAGTGGTCATGGGAACTTGTTATAGGATTTGAACCTTGTTAGGAAGGACGTTGTCACCTTGGAGATAGTCCATTTGTTTAACTGAAATGAAGGCTGATTTGAAATGTTCATAAGCAAGGTGGAAAAAAAAAATCCCACCACTGTGGAGCCCTCTGGGACTGTGGAGTGGTTCTGTGGAATTTAATTAAAATGACATTGTTTCTGGAAATCACAGAGCTGCCTCACTGGAGGCGCCTGCAGAGCGGAGGCAGCTGATGGCCTCCTGAATCGAAGGAAGGTTTGCGACATAGAGGGGGGACATGTGACAAACACTGCGGCTTTCTTCCTGCCTCTGGGATTTATACTGTTCCACTGTGGTCAGAGGGTTAGGAATTTTAATGGGTTTCAGTCGACATTCTTCAGGCAAGGGAAGGTGACTGGAATCCAGTGAGGTGCCTGCAACTTCGTGGGGGACAAAAAAGTTCTAGAATGTGTTAATGTGTTATCACAAGATGCAAGAGTCTAAGTAGTCATCAGGCTACTGAATGAAGCCAAGTCCCCATTCTCCTGGAGCATATGTTGTAGTGTGGAAAAGACAATCAAGCCAACAAGGAAAATATAATTCAGTAAATGTCTCGAAGGCGCATAGAGTAGTGGGACATAAAGAGGAGAAAATGATGGGTGGGTCAGTGAACACTGATGTCATTCTGCATGTCTGCTGTTGCCTTCTTCTCAGCCAGCTATACCCTGCAGAAAGGCTTTGATTATGTGAAGTACTCATCTTGGAAAATTTCTTCTACCTATTTAAACAGTGACGATTACTTGTATATCCCCGAATTGGCTGTTTGTTGCTGCATAGCCATTACCCTAAAACTTAACAGCTTAAAAAAAAATTAGTAGCCAGGTGTGGTAGTGCACACCTGTTATCCCAGCACTTGAGAGGCAAAGGTAGGCACCTTTGAGATTGAGGCCAGCTTGGTACATATCGAGTTCTAGGCCAGCTGGGGCTACAGAGGGACCCTGTCTCAAAACATAAGGGGCTGGAGAGACTGCTGAGCGGATAAGAACACTGTTCTTGCAGAAGACTTGGGTTCGAATCCCAGCACCCACATGGCAGCTAATAACTGTCTGTAACTCCAGTTCTGGGGGATCCGACAGTCTCTTCTGTCCTCCGCAGGCATTGCACGACACGGGTACACTTACCTACATGCAGGCAATACACGCATACACATAAAGATAATAAATAAAAAATATTAAAAAAAACCATAATAAGTAAATAAATCAGAGCCAGGTGTGGTAGCTCATGCCTGTAATCCTAGCACTTGGGGAGCAAAGGCAGGAGGATCACTGTGAGTTCAAGTCTAGGCTATGCTGCAGAGTGAAACTCTTGTCTCAAAAAAGCAACCACCCCACTAACCCCCAAAATTAGTGGCTTAAAACAACAAAGGTGATCTCAGTTTCTATAGGTTAGGAATCTGAAAGTGGTTTAGTTGGGTGATTCTTACTCAAAGGTTCTGATGAGTTTATGTCAAGACAGGTCATAGGATGGAGCACTCAAATGGTTGTCAGGAAACCATTAAAGGGTGAATTCACCATGTGGACCTCTCCACAGGGCTGGTTGAATGTCCTCATGGCAGAGCAACTGGCTCCCCAGAGTGAGTGCTTTCAGAACCCCAAGGAGGACACAATGCTTTTCCTGACCTAATTTTGAAAGTCATATCCTGTTTATTTCTGTTGTGTTCTATGAATTAGTCCAGCCCATACTCTTTTTGGATAGAAATATAGCTCTACCCATTTTTTTTTTTTTTTTTTTTTTTTTTTTGGTGTTTTTGAGATGGTCTCCCTGTAGCTCCAGCTGTCATGGAACTCCCTATGTAGGCCAGGCTGGACTTGAACTCACAGAGATCTGCCTGCCTCTGCCTCCCAAGTACTGGGACTAAAGGTGTGTGCCACAACGCCCGGCTCTATTCTTTTTTTTGAGGGGGGTGATTTCAAGACAAGATCTCATGTAGCCCAGGGTGGCCTCAGGCTGTGTAGCTGAGGATGATGTGAATGTGCGATTCCCCCACCTCCACCTCTAGACTGCTGG